CTAGAACTACGAGTATAAGAAAAAACTAAGTTAAACTCAACCAGTTTTGTTAGTTTCAGTCATTCTTAAGCCCATTCAACATCGACTAACGACCGAATTCACCTCGAATTTCATTAAATCGAAGAACTGAATAATACACGATACAAAAACAAACAACTGTCGAGATGGATTGTGGGAAATTTTTACTGGGAGTGTCCAAGCTCCTAAATATCCAGATTATCCAGAAGATACCAAGTTGCCTTTACGTAATATATACCTATCTGTATGGTTTATTGCATTTTATGTAATATAAAAAGTAGTAAATTATTTATTTTTCCTAAATATCTAGACCATATTGTTAGGATATTTTATTATCATGAGCATGTTTGGATATCTCAGCTGGATCTACATTAGATATACGACAGAGATATCCACAGGATATTCTATTCTGAGACATCTACAGGATTTCAGGATGTCTAGAGGATATCCTATAGATATCTTTATAGGATGATCTTGTAGTGGGACATTCCGACATTCTATGGATATCCTGCAGATATTGTGTATTATATGGGATGGGTATGGAAATGCATAGCTTTAGAGTACAGGATGTTAAAACATTTTAAAATTAGGTTTTTTGTAATTATCTTAAATATCATTATTTTTTTATTTGAAATAGTAATACTATTTAATAATAAATTAGGTAAAATGTATAATTTATTAATTTTAATTTTATTAATTGTGATTAATAAAATTGCGTTTATCTCAATAAGGAGGCCTAATTCGACAAAATATCAAGAGATAACTTTTAATTGACATTAAGCGGCCTACACAATTTTGATATCAAAAGAAAAAAAATCAGTGGCGCACGTTTTTTTTTGAAAAATATTCCGGTGATAACCCATATGCACGTCCCTGATGAATTTATCGACACTTTTTTAGCATTAAAATATGTAGCATTTATAGTAACTTTTACCCTCAAAATTTCATTTGAATCACTAAAATTAATAATAGAAAATTATAATAAATCGAAAGATTATTAAGACTTTAACACCCTGCAGCTACGAAACAAAGCAGAATCGGACCTATGTTCATATGAAAAATAAATCTTATTTTTACGTGAGAAATTTCCCCACGGGAGATGGCACATGTTTTTTGAGACACCCTGTAGACCTAAGCACGAACATGGCGCCCATCATGATAATTTCTGCGCACCTTCAAGCTCATTCTTCTATCTCTACCGGGTACGTTTCAAAACTGGCTCACCCCTATAACTTTTTTATTTTATGAGATAAAAAAAACGAGATTTGCCGTGTTAGCATATGATTTAAATTAGGATTGAGTGACGGTATTCAATTGCTTTTGGTCGCTTCCTATTTCACCGGAAATGACTACAACTTCTGATTTTTAAATAGCACCCTCGGCATATTTTTGCTTTATTCGATAGAAAATGACACTCTAAATAGAATGACATAATATCATATGTCAACTTTTGACGTTTTCACCTATGGTTTATATGAAATTGTAACATACGGTTCAAACGACAATATGACTCCGAAATACCAAGTGTGTGGTACCAAATTATTTGTAAAAAATGCTTTTTCCAAATATGCTAATGACCCACTCTGGTTACATTTGAAAAAATAATATATGATTAAAAATACGATTTGTGCATCTTTTAACCAGCCAGGACAAGACAAGAAGAACATCATCTTTTTTTCCAAGGCTCCTACTATAATAATTAGTGTTTTTAACACAGCTAGATTGAAATTTAAAATTCGATTTTTTAAGCGAAAATGTCAAAAGTCGACTTATGATGTCATTCTAATTCAGAATATAATTTTCTATCGAATAAAGTAAAAATATACCGAGGGTGCCATTTAAAGTTGTAGACATTTCCGGTGAAACAGAAAGTGTTCTAATATATAGTTTCACCATATTGAATTTCAATATGTCAATCAATCCTAATTTATGTCATATATAGTCTGTCCAACGAGAAGATCCTTGACAGTGATAGATGTGTCTGTCATTTTAATTTCAAAGTAGTTTATTTTATTTTACAAAGAAATAAGTTGGTACAACTGGAACGCATAGCAGGAAATTTTGATACAAAATATTGTGAAAAAAACGGTATAAAACTGAAAAAATGTAATCGAGTTATTTAATTTAATAAAAAACGGTATGTGTTAATCAGTGGCGGATTAAGGGGGGCGGGGCGGAAGGGGCGGACCGCCCCGGGCCCCGTCTTTTAGGGGGCCTCCGAATCTAAATAAGTAATTTTTTATTCAACTGGCAAACAAGGCCAATATTGTGTTCAGTAGTTATAAAGCAGTTTGTAAACAGTATAAATGGAAGCAGATATTTACTTAATTATCAATTATCAGGTCCTAATAATTGTGAATGGCATTTTCTATTTAGGAAATTAAATCAAGGGATAATTTTCTTTGTTTAAAATATCGAATAATTATTATTTTTTATATATTTTGAAACTGAATTTATTTATTTTAGCTTTTAAGTTACTTTTCAATGGTTTCATTATTTATTTTTACTGAATAAACATTTTACATTACAACCAATGCACAGCATAACTTATATTCTAGCTTCATTTTCCTATAGTATAACGGGGGCCACGGGCGTGAGACAGCGAAGGGGCCCCTCGGATCTTGCAGGACTTACATAATCGCGATATTTTGTTGCGGTATTTCCCTGGAAGCATTTTAAAGAAAAAAATATTTAAAATTTTTGGACGAAAAAAACTACCTGTCAAAAAAATTTGTACAGCCTAAGTCAAATTTAGTGATTATCACAGCCCCTGTGACATAAAGAAAAGACATGTGGCTATCTATTTCAAAAAAAAAAAAATTGTTCAAATGTCTAATAGGAATAGGAAGCCCACTTTTTTTATTTCACTAGTGAAAAGGTTTTCCAATTCGTTACGTTTTAACTAGACATATTCCGCCTATACCTAAAATAAATCGTTTTTAAGTTATTTAAGATTTAGTTTGAAAACGTATATATTTTGTTTGATTTTATATAGCTTCCTTTGACATTAAGTGTCAAACAGTCAGACAATTCATTTCCATCTGTCAGAAAATGAATTTTTTGAATTTCCTATATTATAACTACTGCCTGCTTAAAAGTTTAAAAAGTGTATTTATATAAATATATTTCGTATTTTTAGCTTGAAAATGATGATCGATAATATACTGTTATAGGCATAAGTATAGTCAAAAAGTAACACATTTTAAAAACGAATTTTTTTTTGATTGCCATTTGAAAAAAAAAATGATTTATGATAATTTTTTAATCGCTCAATTCCATGACACCTGCGGCCATTATTATATGACATTCGGACAATTTAATTTTTGACATAGATAGCCACATGTCTTCTTTTTATGGTTATTATATGACATTCGGACAATTTAATTTTTGACATAGATAGCCACATGTCTTCTTTTTATGGTACAGTGGCTGTGGCAATCACTAAATTTGACGTTTAAGCTATATACATATTTTTGACAGGCAGTTTTTTCCTCCAAAAATTATAAATATTTTTTTTTCTCAAAAACAGTTAACGTTAGGTATAGAGTGTATCAAAATTCATAAAATTTTACAGATAATTTAAGCATGTAATAAAAAATGGAGTCACCCATTTAAAATAAGAAAGTTGCTGTCAACTTCCGGTACTACCGAAAGTGCCGCCATATTGAAAATACTTTTAATCGATAGATCTCATTGTGAAACAATGATATGCACAAAATCTCATATCTAGATATTGTAGTTCTCTAGAAACTTCTAACGCAGGCTTAGCCTGGGACATCCTGTATAAATACTTGAATTTTGTCAACCATTATACATACGTTGTTCAATGTTTACAAAATGTGCATTAGAAGTACATCATTATCTAAACAGACCGGGGGCCACATTTACCTTCGCCGCTCCGGGCCTCCGACAGTCTTAGTCCGCCACTGGTGTTAATACAAAACAAACAAGAACAAGACACCACATACCAAAAAAATATAAAAAAGAACTATTTCTTACTTTCAAGCTTTATGAAACTTTCCGCATTTATGAGAGATTATATTTATCAATATAACTTATGTACAAATACAAATTTGTAATATTCCGCAGCAATAAATAAAACAACATAAATAAAACAAACTATTTTATTATTAATAACACTGACCAAATTTTATAGGTACCTTAAAGGTTGATTAATTAACTTTAATCTTAATTTTTTAAACCAGTATCTTTGGCATTATTTTTCTTGTGCAGTACTAAAATCCATTATTTACGTATCGTGTGATGTCGATATTTTACAGCTACTCCAGTCTTTAGTATGTGTTAAGTATGGTCCTTCTACTATATTCGAGATGCACTTATCTACGACGAGATGGTATACGAACTTTAATGATGGTAACTTTATTGGTGTATAAGACTTTTTGGCCTGGGCAGCGAGTATTAACCATAAACTGTGCTCTGGGTCTACAGTTAATTTTCGTTCGATTTTTCCTCCACTTGACTTCAAAAGACACAAAACACACGTAATAACACGAATCAAAATGCATCATCTTCCAAAACGCAGGGTATTTAACAAAACTGACAAAAGTTGACACAAAATTATAACCTCTAATTTGGCAAGACTTTGACAAGCGTCAAAAATCTAAAGACGAGTTCATACGCATCGGCGTCCGTTTGTCGTTCATCGTTCCGTCAAACCAATAAAATTGAAATACGATCTGTCATTTTTGAAATAAACCAATAAAACTGGTTAAAAACAACAAGAGACGACGTATGACGGATTTATATTTAAACCCATCCATAGTTAACTTAAAAATTATTAGAAACTTTTTTTTAGTAAAATAAATAAACATCATCGTCTGTCGAAATCTTACCTGAGAAAAAAAAACAGAGTATACTAGCATACCAAATCTCGTTTTTTTATCTGAAAAAATAAAAAAGTTATATTGGTAAGCCACTTTTGAATCGCACCCGGTATATTTCTGCGCACTACGAAGTGGGTAGGTTACACTAGTTTATTGATATATGTAAATTTATAATTCTATTTATGTACATCATACACAACATTATAAACAATAAAATAATCATATAAACTACAGTTTTTTAGTGTTGGTTCTAATGTGATACATATTCAAAATTTCATCAGATACTTCAGATGGTGCAAAGCTAACTGGGTCTCTTCCTTCTACTGTCTTAGGAAAAGCAATAACATCTCTAATACTAGGTGTATTTAATAAAATGGACAAAAATCTGTCAAGTCCTAGAGCTATTCCACCGTGTGGAGGGCAGCCAGAACCTATAAAAATTAGTCATCTATTATATAAACCACTTTTTTAGTTATCTATCTCAATTATACCAAGCATTTCAAGAATATGTTGTAGGGATTCTCTTTTAATATGAAGCATATCAAGGATTTCTTCTTGAACCATTGGATCATGAATACGAATAGAACCACCACCAATCTCGTTTCCGTTCAGAATTAAATCATATGCTAGTCCTCTAACCTAATAAAAAATAAAATATTCCAATTAAAAAATGTTTCTAATTTTGAGTAATTTACTTCATCAGTTTTGAATTTACCATCTCTATAATATTTATCGTATTATATAAATTCAAAGTGACTAAACAGCAGTAATTTAGAAAAACTTTTGATAACATACCTACCTAATTAAAAAAAACAATATTAGTAGACATATTGTTGTAAATTTATATAAATTCAAAAAAACTACATATCAGATGGTAAAAATTAGTCAATTGTTTAAAATATTTGTGGCGCAAATGTACTGTTAGGTTAGGTTAGGTTAGGACAGTTTGGTTAGGGCTGTTTAGACTCTCAGATAATTTGCGCAATTTTTTTTATATAACGGATGCAGCTTAAAGCCGGAGTCTCATGCATCCGAAATCCGATGGTACGACATCCGAAATTTGAAGTTATCGTGTGAAATAAAAAAGCCTGTCACATACATCCGAAAGTTCGTTCCGAAATTTGACAGTTTTGCCATTTTTTGCTGCGCTGAATAGAGATTCATGTCATGTTTTATTGGAGAAACACTTATAAAATAACTTCCTCGCCAAATATCCCGAAATGGCCCACTTCCCACTAAACTTGTTTTTAAAAACAAATGTTTTCAAAAAAGTGAAACACACGATATCGTACAAAAGTTAAACAAAATTTAACTTTATACGACGTCGGATGATTAGTTAAAATTATCGGATAAAAATTGTTGTCAAAATATTTCGACCAATAGGAGCACCGTCGGATCGTCGTGTCATCGGATTTCGGATGCATGAGACTCCGGCTTAAAGCTTTATTTTCATCCGTTATCCGACGATACGATATTAATTTTATTGGTTGAATTTAAATATTCCTATTGGTTATAAAATTACGCAGTTTTTAGATTTATTGCCATTTTCATGTCTCCGTTTATCGGATATATATACCTTAGTGTCTTTGTGTGTTTTATATTTTCATTTCCATAACGATTTCGCTGTTTTACTTATATTTTTATTAAGGTTACATTAAATTTGTCAAAAATGTGTCAAAACGTCCGTTATCGTACGAAAACGGAACCGTAAAATAACCATTGAACTTTAAATGAAATTAAAACTTGGCCCAAAAAGTTATACAGGGTGCGACAAAATTAATACTCAACATTGGTCACATTTAAAAGCAAGTTACCCTTTTATTTTAAATGGAACACCCAGTATATTATTCCGATATTCAATGGGGAGTTCAAGTCTCATCAAAATACTAGCAAGGTTGCTTACCTCTCAAACAAAGATTTTCCTAGATATTTTCATTTTTATGAATTAGTATCAGTAGATCTTTATTATTTGGTAAAATCCAGGTGGTTGTGATATGTCTGACGTTACTTCAACATAGATGTCAAATTAGTTCAACTTAAACAACTAGTTATCAATTTGTGTCAGTTAAAACCAAAAAGGGTAGGAACAAGACAAGGATTGGCGTAAAAACCTGGATATCTCACTACAATGCACTATTAATTGAAAGTAGGCCAGAGGACATAAGGCTCAGTCAGGGACGCGCCGTCAATATGGGCAAGGTCGTGCGGCGCACGACGGCGCCAAAGCCCTAAAGGCGCCTGCGGTCACTGACTTTAAAAATTAATAAAACCATTTTTTGGAACTTATCAATAAATTAACATAAAATTTAAGTAAAACTTTGATCTATGAACGCCAGTGGTGAAAATATATTATCCACCAATGTCGAGCGCCGCGCCGCACGGTGGGGTATTAGCATGAAAAAGGTGATCGAAATTCGAAAAAGCAAATGTGTTCAAGATTCCCCAAAAAAAGATAAATGATAAGTTAAATCATCTCTGCCATGAATGGCGTTGCTATGGGTGTGTTTAGTTGCATTCATTTGTTTCAACGAAACGTCAAAGTTGTTACTTCTCACAGATAAGAGGTAAATGGCTAAATTTTATGTTTAAAATTATAAATTGTTGTTGTTCGTGTGCTCTTTTTACGTTTATATTATTGTTTTGATTGAAAATGGCTCAGCAAGCTGCAGGTATGTATTCTACAAAAACGTATTATTTATTTTGATATTCTCTATACTAACGGTTTTTTTTGCAACTAAAAGTTAAGGGTTCAGAAAATTTGATTAAATTTGTGACATTTTTATTATACTTAGAGATTTAGTTGCGCATTTCGAAGAATTTAGCATATTGTCTATATACGTTTTACTTAGTAAACATTGGACTTTCATACAGTAAAATAAAATACTGCGACTTTTTGCGACTTTGCTGATAAAGTAAAACATTCTTGGTTTCCTCTAATTTGCCAATCAGTGATATACTAATGCGAGGTGTAAACCGCGATGGCATTGTTGTGTACAAAGCGATCGCATTAGTGCCATTAGCAGTATAGCACAATTTGGCATTAGTAGCGACTTTAGTGGTATGGGCATTGCTCGCGGATCAGTCGTAGCATTAGTAGTAGTAGTTGCGATATTACTACTGGCACTGACCGTGGAAACACTGGAACAGTGATTTTTCTTTCTTTTTTTAGAATCGACGAATTATCCTTTATTTTGTTCATATTATTTCCTCTTTAATTGAAAATAGCAATAATTTATATAAGGTCTACATAAAAAAATTTCGATCAACTATCAGTGTCAAATACCCCACTGTGCGCCGCGCCGCGCCGCTGGTCGTTGGAAATTTTGGCTTAATATTATAATATTGGAGAAAGGAAAGCCTACCCTTATTTCGCACGACGGCGCGGCGCCGAAAAAACTTGGTGCGTCCCTGGGCTCAGCCAATATAGAAGAACATCTAGAAACAAAACTAAATATATCTCAGTGGAAGGAGTAAAAAAAGAACTTAATAAGATGAAAACTAAAAGATCTCCAGGTACAGGTAATATCCCAGCTGAGCTACTAAAATGCGGGGGTTACGCTATGATCGAACGCTTGGTAGCCCTTATGAATAAATGCCTAGCCAAAGATTGCCAAACCAATCAACAGAATACCCCAAGAACGGAAAATGTCTCATTCAAATCCATATTCAAAAAGCGGAATCGGAGAGACCCTGAATGGTACAGAGGACTAAGTGTCAATTGTACGGTGGGTAGGTTGTTTAGTAACATTCTACAATCCAAACTGTGAGCAAATATTGGCCATAAAATTGGATAGGACCAAAGTGGATTTAGACCGGGCAGATCTTGTGTGGATAACCTTTTCATACTTTAGCAGCTTCTGGAAAAAAACAAATATTCGTAGAAGTAGAAGTTTTATTACAGTTAGGGGTTGGAACCTTTGGTGTTACACAGTAAAATAAAACACTAAATTACCACAATACACCAAAACACTTTTACACTGGACCCACGTTTCGCTAGCCATGTTAGCATCATCAGCTGGATGTTTGAATTCATTGTGGTGGGATCAGCATTTCTCTCTTAGAACCAAAAAAGGCTGGGACAAATCTTGGTTGAATCTGTGGTGTGCTATGGTTGTGAAGTATGGGCTCTAACAGCCAAAATGAAACAGAGGCTTACAGCAGTCGAAATGGACAGAAGGAGCGCAGGCGTATCGAAAATGGACCGGAGTCAAATCAGAGGTCTGAAGTGATTTGGTCATCTTGTAAGAATGCCGGAAGATCGATGGCCGAAACGTCTTTTTGGTTGGAGTCCTCCATAAAGAAGAAGGCGTGGTAGACCAAGTAGGTCGTGGAATAACGCAATTAGGCAAGCGATGGCTTCCAGAGAGCTGAAAGAACAGGATGCATTTGATAGAGAGGTTTGGCGAAGGCGAACGGGAAAGCAGCAGTAGCTGTATTTTTGATTAATAGACAACCAAAGTCTAATCAAATCCCGTATATATACATATACAGGTTTGTTCACCACATACGACACGGAGTATTGTAGCTAAACGATGAGAATTTTACAAATTGTAAGTTTGGGGTTCGTTGAAGGACTATTAGAGCTACAATTTAAACATATTTTTACAAGATACAGAGTGTCCCAAATAAGTTAAAAATATTATAGTTGTATTTTTTAAATGGAACACCCTGTAAATTATTCTATTTTTGGATTCTATGATTAAAATAAAAATAAGGTAAATTTGATTAGGGTTTATCACACTTAAACCTTACCGTTTTTGAAATATTTTCAATTTTATGAAATTGCAGTAAAATTTTAAGGCTTCATTTCTCTAAAGGTATCAAAGTTTTTAATACTAAATATTTACTGAAGATTATTTATTGATCAGATATTGTGTTGCAATAATAAAAATTTTACTACCTTATACAGAGTGTCCAAAAATTTATATTAAATAATTACTAGCTTTAAACGGCAATAACTTGTTTTTAATGGAACACCCTATATATTTTACGTGAATCAGATACACAATGTAATTGTCTATCAAATTGAATTATACCATTTTTTACCCATTTCTTCAAGTTTTCGTAGAAAATGCATTTTCTTATAATTTAGACCTCATTTATCACTATACCCATGAAATATTGATATTTTAGATTATTTTTAAAGTAGTAACAAATTTTCAAAGAGTACAGATACTACTATAGTCGATATAGTTTCATTAAAAATTAAAAAAAAAAAACTGTTTAAATATTGTTTGTTAAAAAGGACCAATTAATATGATCCCAGTATTCAAACTACATTAATTGACTGTTTACGTTGATTAATAAAAATTGCCCCAAATACTAAAAAACTGAATTTTGTGTCTGTATTAGACAGTGTGGTAAAAAGTAACACTTTTTAAATTTTATTTTAATTTTTGACGAATGCTTGTTTATAAAAACAGAGACGTTTATTTTCATAACTTATTTTTATATTGATTTCTGAGCCAAATTCACATTTATTTAAAATACTTTATTAATTAAAACAATTTAAAAGTATGTAAATAACTAATTTTTGGTCGGAAATAATGGTGGTATAGGTATATTTAATTGGTCTCTTTCACAAAGATTTAAATATTTTTTTTTGTATACCAATGGGCTTGCAATACATTTTGTACATATATGTTGCTTTAAAAAAATCTGAAATAACCGATAAATTAGGTCTAAATTATAAGAAAATGCATTTTCTACGAAAACTCGAAGAGATGGGTAAAAAATTGTATAATACAATTTGATAGACAATTACATTGTGCATCTGATTCACGTAAAATATATAGGGTGTTCCATTTAAATTAAACAAGTTATTGCCGTTTAAAGCTAGTAATTATTTAATATAAATTTTTGGACACTCTGTATAAGGTGGTAAAATTTTTATTATTGCAATCGTAGAATCCAAAAATAGAATAATATACAGGGTGTTTCATTTAAAAAATACAACTATAATATTTTTTACTTATTTGGGACACTCTGTATATTGTACAAATATTTTTAAATTGTAGCTCTAATAGTCCTTCAACGAACCCAAAACTTACAATTTGTAAAAATCTAATCGTCTAGCTACAATACTCCGTTTCGTATGTGGCGAACAACCCTGTATATAAAATTAAAAAAAATCCTCAGTAATTTGCCGAAAATGGAAACTTTTCCTACATCAGACAGAATTGATATGAGTCTATTAGTTGGGGCCTGCAGTGTGCATTCACCAATTAACAGAATACTTAAATGCTCCTGATTTATCTAGTCTGGACAGTGTTTTCAAAACTCGACCAACTATTCTCGACAACAAGAAAGAAATTATTGTGGCTGCTTTTCGAAGTAGAATTTCACATACGCCTCTTAACAAGAAAATATCTTTTGAAAAGAGTATCATTTTATGCAGTGAACAGGAATGGAAGCATTTTGAGTCATTTCACTTCATCTAGCTAATTGTCACATAATTATAGGATTATATCTAGTTTTCATTCTGTAATAATTAAAATATGTTTTAAACGTGTATCTTTTTATTACCGTTGAATATTTTACTTTGCATCCATTAATTATTATTATTAATTTTTGTTAAAGATATATCACAGCCACCTATACTTATCTAATAATATAGATCTGTATTATGTGGCAGAGTAACTTGCTTTTAAAAGTTACCAATGATCAATATTAATTTTGTCTCACCCTGTATAACTTTATGGATTAAATTTTAATTTGATTTAAAGTACAATAGTTATTTTAACTACATAATAGGCTATACCGTGTAAATTTAAATTTAGGTAGCGTTTATCGGAATTAAATTTGTTCCTCATTTTTAGAAATTGTTAAATATGTCAAAAACCTTACACATATTTCTCTAATGAAACTCGTCTTAATTTTTCTCCTAGAATCCGAAAATCAATTAATATATAGAGTGTTCCATTACAAAAAACACAACTTTGATGAGTAACTTTTATTGGGGACATTCTGTGTAATTCTCTATATTTTTAGAAAATGCTGTAAATCAACCTACATATGCTCACAACATTTCATTTCAATACAAACTGTATTTCTCCTTACAGCCTCCGCGTCGTATGAGAGACGCGACCTGCATATAAAAAATTGGCGCCGGGAGGCACGTATAGCCGCCCATACTAAAATATGTTAATAAAAAGTTGGTAGGCAGTTCTTTTAGTTTCAAACTAAAGGTATTTTTCTAAGTGTGCGAACACAGTCCGAGTACCTATTCTTGACATCGTTCGCAACTTTCCGTATACGCATCACGTGTATTGTTATAAACAGGGTATCCCAAAAATAAGTGCAAGTATTTTAAGGGGTGGTAGATCTCGAAAATCTCGATAAAAGAAACATATTTTCTCATTATCGTTTTTCAAATAAGTCGAAAATAACGGAGTTACTTTACTTTGAAAATTTCCACAAAAAATTATTTTTTGCTAAAATTTTGAGAACCATTGGATCTTCTTTGGATTTTCTTTCTTGTAACTTTAATCTACTACCTATGTTGCCATATTATCAAGAAATTGTTTTCTTTAAATAAAAACTAAAAAAAATTCCAAAAAAATTTTCAAAAAATTCCGAATTTTCAAAAAAAATTATTTAAAAAAAACTCATTGGCGTGTTTCTGGGGTTGAACTATACTACCAGTTAAATTAAAATACTTGCACTGATTTCTGGGACACCCTGTATATGGGTAAATCGTAGCGCCGCGCCGCCTCACGCTATAACCTTGAAAAATTAAAGCGTGTTATCAAATCGGCTAGTTCACAGTGAAAGCAGGCAGATGGCAGGCAGGCACCGTCAACCAGCGTTCGTCGGCGTTCTCGCTTTTACCGGAACGAAAATTTATTTATTTCTGCTTTTGCACGCGCCGACGGCGCACAGAGGGTATTAAGAACTAAAAGTTGGCCAAAATTATGTTTTATGATTTTTTTGCTTTTTTGCTAGTAATATTAATTATTAATTAGAGGAGAGGTTGCTAATATGGAACCCCATTTTGTTTTTTCTACACAATATTTTTTCCTCTACTCTGAAACCCTTTCCACCGATCAAATAGGGCCATTCTGTGCAAAACCAAGCAATTGGATGAGGATGCTAGAATAAGAAAGTAATTTGTATATTATAGACGATATTTGATCGAGGATGGGTGTTATAGGGTAAAGACTATTTCTTTTAAGAATCTATTTAAATCATTGTTTTTTTTTGGCAGTGGCAAATATTGGCAAGATTTTTGTACATATTCCAAAGCTGGAGACTTTAAGCATTGAACGGATACTAATTTCCATGCGGAATATTGCCGAATAGTCTTACACCTTATAAAAATGCCTCTGATTTTTTAAATATAAAACATTATAAAGAAATAGAATAGAAGAAAACGTTTCAAAATAAAAATATGACATAAAACAGGACTTGTCAGCTGGCTCTGTATCCATGATGACAGTTATTATAAACAATTTGCAAAAAAAGCACTACAAACAATTCCACTATTTTATAATCTTAGAAATATTCAGAATACACTCAAGATAATTCATACTTATAATTGAAATATATTATTTATTTGATAGTCAACTTACGACTTAAAAAAAGCTAATAAATGCGCTTACATTTAGTATTTATAGATTTGTATTCAGTTAAGATAAAAAATGAAAATAAAAATATTTCATTTTTGGCCAGGTTTATAGACCAAATATCCCTATGTGCGGCGCCGGCGCGGCGGGAGCGGCGTTTGAATATGGTTAGGTTAGGTTAGGTTAGTTAATCAGGTAAATTTCCTCTTAAATAACTACTTCCGAACCCTGCTCGCATCTCCGAAAAAGCCATATAACAATACACGGCATATACGCAAAGTTACGCATCACGTGTATTGTTATATGGCTTTTTCGGAGATGCGAGATGTGAGCGATATGTGGTCAAGAATAGGTCCCCAGAGACGGCGCTGGTTGCCGGAAAGCAGAAACCTGCCTCCACTATGTTCGTACCCTAATTTTGGTCCGCGGTTATTTCCCCTATCCGCCACCTGGGATCGCGTCCAATGGGAGTTTGGAGTTCTCCACACGGATTTTCTCAAAAACGGACTACGGAAACACGGAATATCTCAAAAACTGCGACTTTGACTGATTTTGATGTTATTACAAATTTTCTTGCAAATATTATTCCTAATCTTAAATTGAAAACCGCGTTTCGCTAGCTACTGTAATTCTTTTCCAAACCAAACCAAACCAGACCCAAATAACTCATTTTGAGTGAAATTAAAAAAACTTTTTTTTTGCTGATCTTAATAGCCTACCATACCTGTTGGTATGATCGGCTAAAAATATTTTACGATATTGCCTGCGGCAGGCAACGCTTTTTTACCAACATTATATGCACGCCACTGCAGACTATGTACCTTTACTTGTTATTTTTGTAAATACTTACTTTCAGGGGATTATGTTTTAAAAACTGAATATCTTCCGGGTGAGGAGCGGTAAAAGGGTGATGAACGGACTCTAATTGTCCACTTTCTTTATTCAGTTCAAACAGCGGAAAATTCAAAACCCATAAAAAATAAAATCCTTTCTTACGTAAATTTCTGATTTCTAATTCATTCTCCAAAAAATTTATATATTCCAATCTAATTTTTCCTAGTAAAGTTCTCTAAAAGTAAATATATAAGTTAAATGACAAACTAAATATAAAAATATACCAACTGCTTCATTCTTTAGTCCATATGTTACAAATGCTATACAATTGTCATCAATGTTGTATTTATCGATTATTCTAATTGCTTCATAATTTGTAAACAACTTACTCATCTTCTCGGGCCATTCTTTCCTTATTATTTTGCTTTGAATTAGTTTTGCTTCTGAAAACTGACTAGCAATTCTTTTATTATTCTCGACGAGTTGCTTAGGCAAAATATAGGGTTTACTTGAACTATTCTGATTAAATATTAATATATAAGCTCCAAAGTCATGCGTATTATTTAGTTTAGAATTGTCCTTTAAAATATCCGTGCAGTTCTGAAGCTTAAATTATATTTGAAATATTATATTGTGTTTATAATACTGCTAAAAATACTTTATAATCAACTGTAATGTCTGGTTTATCACTTCCATAATTTTCTAAGGCCTCTTCATAATCAATTTTTGGAAATTCTGTTGGAATATTATTACAAAAGCCTGATAGTGAATAAGTCAATAATTCCTCTATAAGTTTAATAACGCCATTAACATCTGTAAATGACAGTTCTATATCTAACTGTGTAAATTCTGGTTGTCTGTCGGGTCTAAAAAATATACATAAATTAATTAAATTTTCGAAATACGAAAAAGAAATACTGTTGTTTGTCGTTATTAAGTGAACCAACGCCTCATAACGACCACTCACACGACCTGTATCTGAGTCTAGAGATCAGCAAGAACTCAATCCGCAAGAAGATTTTAAAATCGCAATTGGCTCTCAGAAAACTACGATTGCGATTCTTCCATTTGCGAGTTTCAATTTAGGCAACCATTACTATAGCTGCGCAGTGGCGGACTAAGGGGGGGCGGAAGGGGCGGTCCGCCCCGGGCCGTCTTTTAGGGGGCCACCAAATCTTAGTAAGTTTTTTTTAATCAACTGGCAAACAAGGCTAATATGTGTTCAGTAGTAATGAAGAGGTTTGTAGGTGGACTATGCAAACCATACGTATACGCCAACTATAAACAGTATAAATGGAAGCAGATATTTACTTAATTATCAATTATCAGGCCCCAGTAATTATTGTCAATGGCATTTTTTATTTAGGAAATGAAATAAAGGGATAATTTTCTTTACAGTTGAGGGTTGGAACCTTTGGTGTTACACAGCAAAATAAAAACACTAAATCACCACAATACACCAAAACGCTTTTTAAAAACAGTTTATAATCATCTGCTGATGATGCTAACATGGTTAGCGAAACGCGCGTCCAGTGTAAAAGTAAAAGTGTTTTGGTGTATTATGGTGATTTATAATTTTCTTTGTTTAAAATATCGAATAATTATTATTTTTTATATATTTTGAGATTGAATTTATTTATTTTAGCTTTTAAGTTATTTTTTAATGGTTTCATTATTTATTTTTACTAAATAGACATTTGAAATTACAATCAATGCACAGCATAACTTGTATTCTAGCTTCTTTACCGATGATGAGCAGTGAAGTTTTTAGTTTAACGGGGGCCACGGGCCTGAGAAAGCGAAGGGGCCCCTCGGATCTTGGAGGACTTACAAAATCGCGATATTTTGTCGCGCTATTTCCCTGGAACGGTAGCGAAAGTAACGCGGTTTATATGTGGAACCGGTATTTTCATCACTTTGTCATTATAAGTTGCCATTAAATACATGCGAACATTCCGCTCGGGGATGGTAGTATATGGCTCGTCAGCAAAATTATGTTCAATACTTTAATACCTCTGATTTATTACAGTTGGGATTGGAACCTTTGGTGTTACAATAGCAAAATAAAACACTAATTCACCACAATACACCAAAACACTTTACTTTTGCACTTACTTGTTTTATTACATCAAATTGCATCATTTTTCAATTTAAAAATATTATTATAAGCTTTAAAAAATTGATGTTATCGTTTTTCTGCAGCCTTTTTAGAGCTGGGGCCCTTAATACTCCTGGGGCCAGGGCCCATCAGGTCATTTAAACTTTTTGGACGAAAAAAACTACCTGTCAAAAAAATTTGTACAGACTAAAAGTCAAAAATTTAGTGATTATCACAGCCACTGTGACATAAAGAAAAGATATGTGGCTATCTATTTCAAAACTTAAATTGTTCAAATGTCATATAATAATGGCGGTAGCTGTGATGGAATTGAGCGATTAAAAAATTATCATAAATATTTCTTTTCAAATGGAAACCCACTTTTTTTATTTCACTGGTGAAAAGGTTTTTCAATTCGTTACGTTTTAACTAGACCTATTCCTATACCTAAAATAAATCGTTTTTAAATTATTTAAGAATTAGTTTGAAAACGTATATTTTTTTGATTTTATCTAGCTTCCTTTGGCATTAAGTGTCAAACAGTCAGACAATTTATTGAAAGTAATAAATTTATTTAGTCATGGGCTCCTGGTTAAAATCAAGAAAAATATACGCTTTAAAGCTAGATATTAAATAACTTAAAAACGATTAATTTTAGGTACGGGAACATGTATAGTCAAAAAGTAACAAATTTTAAAAATGAAAGTAACGAAAGCCTTTTCACGACTGAAATATAAAAAGTGAATTTCCATTTGAAAAAAAAATGATTTATGATAATTTTTTAATCGCTCAATTCCATGACACCTGCGGCCATTATTATATGACATTCGGACAATTTAATTTTTGACATAGATAGCCACATGTCTGCTCTTTATAATACAGTGGCTGTCGCAATCACTAAATTTGACTTTTAGGCTATATAAATATTTTTGTCAGGCAGTTTTTTTCCTCCAAAAATTATAAATATTTTTTTTCTCAAAAACGGTTAACGTTAGGTTAGAGTGTTTAATAACAAAATTCATAAAAATTTACAGAGAATTTAAGTAAGTAATAAAAAATGCGGTCACCCATTTGAAATAAGAAAGTTGCTGTCAACTTTCGGTACTTCCGAAAGTGCCGCCATGTTGAAAATATTTTAATCGATAGATCTCGTTGTGAAACAATGATATGCACAAAATCTCGGATCTAGATATTGTAGTTCTCTAGAAACTTCTAATGCAGGCTCAGCCTGGGACACCCTGTATAAATAGTTCAATTTTGTCACCCATTATACATAAGTCATTCAATTTTTACAAAATGTGCATTAGAAGTATATCATTATCTGAACAGACCGGGGGCTACATTCAGCTTCGCCGCCCCGGGTCCCCGACAGGCTTAGTCCACCCCTGTAGCTGCGATTTGCGATTTTGCTACGATTGTGATTTTGTAAACTGGGACCGTGATTTCTATCTGCGAGTTTGAATTTTTAGGTGTTGCGTTTTGAGATATTATTGCAAATGTAATTTTGTGGTCTATTGAAGCATTTTATAGTAAACTGCGATTGAATTTTCTCTGATATTATTTATTTATAGAGAAGGCATTATTTTTTAGGGCTACGATCATAATGTGTGTTTCTCAAGTTTTCTCAAGCGTTTCCCTATAACTTTTTCATTTTTTCTGATAAAAAAAAAACGAGATTTGGTATGTTAGTATATGATATAAATTAGGATTGATTGACGATTGACGGTATTCAGTTGTTTTTAGTCACTTCCTGTTTCACCAGAAATGACTACAACTTTTGATTTTTAAATGACACCCTCGGTATTTTTTTTGTTTATTCGATAGAAAATGCGTCACTCTGAATAGAATGGCATATCATACGGCGACTTTTGACAATTTGGCTTTGTATTTAAATCATATTCTAAGTTTCAATCTAGAATGTCATAGCTATGTTAAAAACACTAATTTTAATCAAGATGCCTTGGAAAAATAGATTCGATCGTCAATGGGCTCTTTCACAAAAAATAAAATATCCAATTCAAGGACAAAATCTGAAATAGAAGACTATTTTAAGTATATTTATCCAAAAAAAATCGTTCCATGACATTGAATATTTTTTTATAGGCCCTCAAAATTGCTTTAATTTGAAATAATTTTAAAGCGCCAATTGGTGACGTATGAAAAATACGCCGAATCACACTGCAGAACCGTGCTCGTGCGCCAGCCAACAACTGGCAACATTGCGATTTGATTTGACCAGCACCACCTCAACTCAAGGCTAATCAACATGATATGGGAAGGCAAATATGGCGGCGAAGGCAGCGCATTATTAAATTGTTTACCTTTAACCTGAAAAGCCGGTAGTGGTTTCTACCTTTAACCTGAAAAGCCGGTAGTGGTTTCTCGTTCCGATTGCATACCAGAAATAATTAATTATCTCTAGTTTGTTGTGCTTCTGCAACACGTTTGTTTAGTTCTTAGTGTTTAAGCTAAGCCTCTGTTCATAAATAAGCCTCAAAAATAACAGTGTAATAAAAATCCAAACCAGACATTCTATTATTAATTATTTTAAGGTAAGAACTAGAAGTATTTATCAAGAGAACTAGAAGTATTTTAAATGAGTAAAAAGCCTTCACCGCCAGTCTGCATAGTACTTTATAATGGTTACTTACAATAATCAAAAGATAGGTATTAAAGGGTAGGTATTAACATTTTATTGTAGCATACTTTTTACATGCTCTGTTCCAAATTGTCACGAGAATTATAGAAGGGGTCCCAAGGTTTCTGCTTTTATATTCCCCAAAATGACGAGCTTCGTAAAAATGGTTGACAGCTATTAAAAGAGATAATTTCACTCCTACTAGTAGTTCTCGGAGGTAATAAATAAGCTCAAAAAAAGGGCCAAAGGCCAAAGCCTCTGTTACCCTAGTGAGGATGTAGTTATGGCTACTTACACTTACCTCACTTTAAGTAAAATATTGGAAGAATAATCAAGCTTTTTACATCAAAAGATCACAGAAAGATATTGACAACATAGACATTTGAAAATATAAATGGCCTGGATGTAAGTTTTTTAGGTCACAATTGCCCCTCACATACTTCAGAATTTATTATTAAATCCATCTTGTTCAGAATATCCAATATTTTATTGAAGAACTATGCACAAAAAAGGAATGACGTCTTTACCACAAAGACAATGCCCTATGTAAAGAGAAAGAGTAAAGAAAACTAAGCTAAGCGTTAAGTTTTACTTACGAACCCCCAAAAGGGTATTTAGTCTTTTTTCTATATAAAATCTTGAAACACATATTATATTTTTTAGTTATCCTCACCTATTATAGGTTAAATTTATTCCCATTTGTGTAATGCTGCAAAACATAAGAAAAATATTCCATATTTTTTGACTCAAGCCAGTGTAGTTTGTAATTCAAAGAGCATTTACCAAGGCTTTTATTTACCAAGACAAGTAACTTCCTCTACTGTCCACAATAGTATAATATATTTATCAAACGTGCAGTAAATTCTAAAGTATGGTAGGTAAGTGTTTGCAATTGAATATTTAGTTTATATTGCTATTTTCTGTCATATATTTCTTTTTCCGATGATTTTGAACACCCTATATATGCTACCTCAAGTTTGAATATTTTAACACTACCTATCTATTTTCTGAGAAAGCAGACCTTTAACAACTGATGTTTTCATAAAAGTAATAATACAAAAAATTCCATACTTATGTGGAGAGCTTTAGACTCCCTGTATATTAAAAAATTAGTGAAATATTACGTAATC